CTGGAATAAACAAGCTGTTTTTTTTTCCAGAAACATTTAAAAATGCCAATCCCAAAGAATAATTTCAGCCAATTTACTGAAAGCACAAATGCTAGTAGGATGTAAAAGTGATCAAATTATGTAATGTGAAGGTCACTTCCTGACTGCTTTTAACTGCTATTTATCCATGTACATTTTAGAAACATCTATGCAGATTTTTCAAGAGGAAACCAATTGCACAGCAAAAATATGATGGCTTCACCAATGTCTTTGGGATAGCATTACCCTAATTTCAAAGGCAACATGGGAGATCAGCAAATTATTGAGAAAGACCACAATTACAACTTGGCCTGAATATAAGAATTGGAACATCTTGGTAGAGGAATCTACTTTTGACAAAATCATTCCCTCTTCCCAAAGAACACAGCAATCCAGCTTAACTGCTACATTTAACAAACAGCAGAGAAATCTCAATTGAGTGAAACTCGGAAACGTTTCCTGGTGTTTTATCATCTCTCTCAGGGGAAAGGCAAGTGAAAACATGCACAAAACAGCATTAGCACAGCCAGGAGTCATCAAACTAATGGGTGCAGAAATGAACTTGGTAATTTTGAGGTGCACAGAAACAATTAAAGAGATAAGCAAATAACAACCAGAACCAGAATGGCTTGTTTTGTCTACTGCATCAACACTGCACACACAGGAAAACACAGTTGAGAAAAATCATTTCAACAGCAGTTGACAGTTCTTCTATACAAAATAAAAGTTGAAAGAAACACTTCTACTCTTCTACAGGAGAAATATTTAATCCCCCCTCTCAGTCCTTTATTCTTTCGGGTCGGTCATGCTTGCACAGAACTCTGAGAGGAAAGAAGCTGGGATGTGTTTTGGTACAAAGTTCTCCACACCTCCATTGCTCACTCTGCAACTTCTTTAACACTTCATCTGAAGAACACATCAAGCCAATCGCTTCTGGCAGAACCATAACCAGCTACAAAGCCCACGACAGAGTCCCTGCTTCAGCACCTGCTTCTTTTCCTTTGCGGACGAAGTCCCTAAGAGTTTTCTGCACCAAGAACCTCCTCCCCACTCCCAGCACAGCACAGGGCACAGCCCCGCGCCCAAAAATGGACAAAGCTCCACCCCTGCCGCAGAGCCGCAACAAGTTGATAACAAAGTTTACGCTTTCAAGAAAGAAACATCCAAAGTTTTGTTTTATTCGACAAGTCAGTTAATCAGAGGTCACTAAGTTCTCATTAGCAAAAAAGAGGAAAGGAGACAGTTATAATGGAAAGATGGTGCTGTTCTTGCTGTCACAGGACAGCCATCGAATTATTCTGTAGAAACAAGCACAAGATGCCGCTGCTACAATGGAGTTTTGTCCTTGGGGAGCAAGCACTCAGTCTATACTCTAGTAAGTGTCCAGACATGGCTGAATACTTCTAATGACTACAGCTGCCAAATAAAGCCCCTTAACAACCTTCACAGCCAAACCGTAAACTCAGCTTGACTCCCACACAAACTACACAGCCAACCAATTACACCACTCTTGCAATAACTATGTGTTCAAAAACCCACTCGGTAATCATTAATAAGAAGAGGCCACCATGCAAGAAGAGTCCGAGAGACCTCCAGCACCAGGCATGAATTTGGTGAGACTTTAAAACCTAAGTAGTTGTTAACGACCAGCTGCTCCAAAGAGCAGGAAAGAAAAGTCACCAATCCCAACAGCATTGGGAGAGTTTCGGTTTCAACTCTGGGGGCAAATAAACTGGCTGGGAAGACCTTAAATTACCTTTAGGAAATAAACCATAGGAACAGTGGCTGCGGTAAAAACCTGTTTTTCAAAATGCCGGCGGAAGAAAGCACATTTATAATTAGTTAACAGGTAATTTGCGGGATCAGTACAAGCACATCGGGGACTCGGGCAGGGGCGCACGTTTCCAAACGCGTCTGCTCTGCCCCCGAGAGCAGCATGGGCACACACGTGTACACACAGCCACACCAACTTCCCCGGCCACACTTCTCCATTTAGCAGGTCTCTCTGGGAGTTCCCGGTTACCTTCAGGTCTTGTTTGGATATGTCCGTGTGTGACACAGCCCGGATCCTGCCCGACTTCCAGGGCCATTCCGAGATGAGGCTGGCGTCCCACGTCCTGTCCTCCTCTTCCGACAGGCAGAGGAACCTCTTCCCTACGAGCAGCGACCAGCTCCCCTCGAGCCTCAGCACCATTTTAACTCATCGGGAGGCCTTCGGCGAGGAAAGCGACGGAAGGACGAGAGAAACACACAGGGCAGGGCAGTGAGCGCTTCCTCCTTCCTCTCCCGGCCGCCGCCCCCGCTTCTCCAAGCGGCTCCAGCCGGGCTCCCGCACACCCACAGGTCGCCCCCCGCCCACAGTCCTGTTAACCACTACTCGGCGGGGGTGGGTGGAAGGAAACACCAGGAAGGTAATTCCAGAATGGCTGCAGAGCAGCTCCTGGCTATTCTCACCCCCGCCGCCTCTTTGTTTCCTCCTCCGAGGAGTCAGAGCGCCGGGCGGCAGCCGAAGGGAGGGAGGCGACCAGGCCAAGCTCCTTCCGCCTCACCAACACCCCGGCCTGCCCACCCGGGCAGACGTCCAGCCCTGCCTCTGCCCTCACCTGCTCCCCCCCGGCCCCGCTGCCGGCGCACCCTGCAGTCACACCGGGCACGGGTCCCGCTCCCCTCCACCCCCCGGCACCGACCGCCACCGCGGCCAAGCGACACTGTCGGAGCCGCGCCGCGCACACGCCCCCTCAGCCGTGCGCGCGCCCCCGTCCCGCGACCCTATTGGCTGCGCCGCGCCAGCGGGGCGGGGCCGGCGGCGAGTCTCCCGCCGCGATTGGCCCGGAGGGGCGGGGCCCGCGCGCCTGGCCACACCCCTGAAACCGTTGCTCAGCAGATGGCGGATAAAAAAATAAAAACGATATATCCTTCCGCTTGAGCTTCGAGGAAAGGAGTCCCTCGGGCCAGCCCGCGGAGTGCCCGCGGCAGAGCCCCAAGGGAGGCAAAGCGCGCTCGGGGCCGCGGCGCCTCTCTAGCTCCCTGTTTCCGCCTCGGGAGCGCCGGGCCTCCAGCTATTGGAACTGCCTTTGGAAGCGGCGGAGGGATCGAAGCGGGGCCAGAGGACGTGATGCGGCCGCTTATACGTGCGGCTGGCGGCGTACTCAGATATAGCACAGGAGGCGGTGGCACCTGCCGGGCGGCTCTGCGCATGCGCGCGGGGCGGGCCCGGCACCTGCGGGTGCCCCCGGGGCCGCCATCTTGTCCTGCTGGGGGAGCGGGGCCGGGCGGGGCAGGGGATGGGGTGCGGGGTGAAATAAATAAAATAACAGCGCGGCCTGGTTCCTGGGCAGGGTGGCAGGCTGTGGGGGCGCTCCAGCCGTGCTCGATGGAGGTTGTGTACTTCCATCTAAAAGCAAATGGCTTCCAACAGCTCACACCTTTAACATGAGACCTGTATGTGCTTACAAGTAACAAGGCAAGGTAGCAGAATCATAGTTGGTTTGGGTTGGAAGGGTTCTAGTGCCTTGCTGCCCTCACAGGGAATAATTTTTTCCATGGAGGTGCTCCAGTTGTGCTCGATGGAGGTTGTGTAGTTACAGCTAAAAGCAAATGGCTTCCAACAGCTCATGCCTTTAACATGAGACCTGTGTGCTCTTAAAAGTAAGAAGGCAAGATGACAGAATCATAATTGGTTTGGGTTGGAAGGGTTTTCTAGTGCCTTGCCCTCACAGGGAAGAAATTTTTCCTTATATCTGTGAAAAACACATATTTTAATGATTGGCTTTTCACAAATATTACAATGAATATTATATGTGTAATGTTAGAAAGTTATGCTATATTAATTTTCTTAAGTAGTGTGTTAAATATAGTTTTAGGCACCAACATAATGTTAAAATAGAGACTATGTATGTGAGGGGAGTTTTTTTTTTAAGAATGAGATACTCGCTTTGAGAAACACCTAAATCTTCCAAAGAAAAGGAATTTATGGTTTTCTTATCAGAAGGCCTAATTTCTTTAGGCCTTGCTCAGATTCGAAGACGCCTCGGGGATTAAAGGAAGCAGTTGATATACAACAGACAGAATTCTTGTTTTAAATAGAATGTATGAATAACAATGAAGGATATATGAATGCACAACAGGCTATTGTTTTTAAGATTATTCCTTTGTTCACAAGGTATGTTTTTTGTGACTAAGTGTCCAAGAGCATCTGGACGTCCATAATTCTTTGCTTTTTATTGTCTTGTAATTGTCCTAACTCTAAGCTTTATTACTCTAATTGTATTACTATTTTTATAACCATTTTATTATTATTAAACTTTTAAAATTTTAAAAACCAAGTGATTGGCATTTTTCACAAATCTAATCTAGACCTATTGTCTTTCAGTGCAAAGCCATTCCCAATGGAGTTAAACAGAGAATATGGCACGATCTGGGTGATGGTGCTCAGCAGTGACCCAAAAAGACACACGTGCTCCTCTACTGTAAGACTTCCCACTAGAGCATGGGGAAGGAAAAGACCACAAGTGCAGAAAGTACCCAAGGCAAAGAAGCTGTTGACTCATCCAGTTTGCTAAAATCTCACGGTGCTCAGCTTGTGCTTTCTCCAGGGTTCTTTCCATCACTAGAGGTGTGTGAGCTTCAAAAACCCCCATCACACAGCACTGTGACATTCCTGCCATCTTGCAGTCTCATCTTCCATTTTCTCCAACATTTTAAATGTATTTTTAAAGCCCTCCCCACCAATTTGCTTTCACTGATCATTTGCTTACTACATTTAAACAAACACATTCATATATTAAATGACACAAAAAATTCCTCATGTGCTATGATGAGGAAATTGCTATCTATTCCACGGAAATCAAACAGTCAAATTTTTTTTACAACTGTAGTCAATCTCCAATGATTTCTATCAATGAGATGAACTTAGTAATTGCTACAATTTTCAGCAGGGAGAAACAAAAGAAATAAGAGTGAATAATAAAAAAATGATAGATCGGCAACTATGTGCACTCTGAAGAGCCACTCGTTAGCTGGCACTGAAATAAAAAACAGGTATGTTTGCTTCTCAGATTTGAATATTTACTATATAGACCAGACCTGCAAGGTGGAATTTATGATAAGATGTCGTATAAAGTAAGCTAAATGTGAAATTACCAAATTATTTGTTTCAGCAGACTTTAGGCTCGTGTAGCAGCGGCTGTACAACTGACACATAACACCATGTAGGTGTTGCATAATCTCATTATTTAAATCCCTTAGATTTTTCTGCAGAGAGAACACTTTGCCTCAAAGAGTAGATGATTAATACATGTAGGAAGAGAGATGTCAGCCTATAATGAAGCAATATTAGTCAATGTAATAGATCAAGCTGTTGGTAGCACTCCAGTTGCCTAATAGTATTTTTTTTCACATTAACATCAGAATAAAGGAAGGTTTTAAGGACAGATTTGAACAGCAACAACGTGAGTTTAGTGAATGAGCAGCTCCCACATGCAAAGAGTGGCACGGAGGCTGGTCAAAAGTATTTTAAAATGTAATGTTTTGGGTGGGTCCTGGCCTAGAAGGCTGAGAGTACAGGGTGATATAGTCCATGAATGCCCTTGAAAATGAAGTTATATAGGAAAGGAGGCTAAAAGGTGATGTGATCAAAAAGCATTTTATGTGAATGTACATAAAATAAAATGAATTGGCAGAGACCAGAAGAGAAGATGGGGAAGCAGAGCACAAGTTGACAGAAGCCTGGACAAAACTCAGTCATCCAGGTTATAAACAATTTTTCAAAGTCCTGAAAGAGTAGAGGTATTCAAATGTTGCACTGCAATACAAAATAACTCACGCACTCACTTTAGATCAGAAAGAAGAAAAAGAGTAAAAGGAAGGAACTTTATTTTTGATTTTGTAATATATAGAATTCTAAAAGTGGTAGTGGACTGGAGGATGAAATTGCCACCTCTCCAACTACACTGGTTAAACTAACAGTCTATCAATTATCTCCTACCACAAAGAAGAATATAAAACAATCATTATTTACATGAACAGCATGTGAGCACTCTAGTATAAACATGTAAACATCAGAAGGTATAGAAAACTTTTAAAAGAACTTTAAAACTTTTAAAAGAACAGGGTGACATTCAGATTCTAGGGGCTAAGTAGAAGCCACACAACTGAAGAATTTTTGCTTTTGAAACAGAGAAAGTAATTAGCTTCTTCCTTCCATTCCCTAGGATTCTTCATTTCTTGTAATTAAATAAGGACCAAATCTCTTTCTTAAATTATATTGCTTCTTTAAACAGTATAAGTTAAAGGTAAACCAGTAAAGTCTTGGGTCAAAAAGTGAAATACATAAAATTTAAAATGATTACTCTAGACATCTCTAAATTTGCCGCATCACTTAAGGACTTGCTTCTCAGTATGACCACCATACAATACAGGAAAAAAGTACTGTTGTTTTTGTTACCTGTTTTTTTATCACCACTCACAATAGTCTCCACAAAACTAATGTCTGCTAGAAATAATTTGTGTGTATTTACCCACCTTCAGTGTGTCAAGAGAAACATCAAAATGTTCATAAATAAGTTTCAGGCTAACCCTATGATAATGGCACAGGTGCAGTTGTCTCACTCTGCATTATTTACCTCTGGAAAAGTCAATGTCTGTTGAAGTACCTGCAAAACAAAGCAGTGTAGTAAAGAAGCAGAACTGATTGAACCTCAAAACAGCAGGTTTCAGCCTGTTCTGCCTGCATGAAGTCTTGAGCATAATTTTTTCCAGCTGGCCCTACCTACTGGTTGGACTGGTAATTGGTAAGCCTTTAGCTCCTATGTGAGAAAGGAGTAATCTCTGCAAACAGGTGCTCTTTAAACAGTAACTTCAGAACACAGTTCAATGAATTCTTCCTTTCAGCCACCATTAAGTAACAGAAAATTTATCTTGTGTGAGGTATCACTAGGAAAAAGAGCAGAAGAGGCTTTGAGGTTTGAATTTAATTATTTGAATTTAACAGTTTAGTTTAAATTGGAATTTAGCAATAAAACTCAATAGCCAATTTTATGCCTAAACAATTGCACATTCAGGCATTTACTCCTACCTCTCTGCATATAAAATCTGGATGTGCTATTCAAATATTTGTGTTTGAAAATTGGCCTCCCACTACCTAGAAGTATTTGATGTCACAGACACTTTACAAGAAAGGGATGTTTCAGTCAGAGGAGGGGCTTTAGATAAATGTCTAGGTAACTGTCCTGGCACTGTTTTCTCCAAAGATGTTTTCCATACAAGAGAGCAGTTGTTTTTCAGGGCTCTCCTGCATTTCCAGGTTAAACCTACCAGTGTGTGTGCAGCTACAGCAAGCAACAACCAGTGCAGGATGTTATGGAACTGGTTTTTAAAATCTCTAATGTGGTGACATTTAAGGGTCTCCACTTTCAATCAAAGGGCCTCTGAATAGGGGGCTGTACAAGCACAGAAGAGGAACATCGAGTCCTTTATATTCTAGTGATTAATGATGGAGGTGTAAGGATGTATAATTACAGTTGGAAGTCCTTATGGCCAGGCTATGAAACCACCAGCTGTGCTGACAGCATGGTGCCAATAGCACCAGGGCTGTGGACTTGATCTCTGTATGGGATATTCACTTAAGAGCTGCACCTGGTGATCCTTATGTGTCCCTTCCAACCCAGAATATTTTGTGAACTGGAAGCAGAGCTTTGGGAGATAGCCCATTTCTCATTTCTCCAGTATGTCTTGAGATGTGGTGCTAAAGAATGAGCAAAAACTACCAGAGACTTTCTTATTAGCACCAAACTGAAGTAGTTAAATGACTCCTAAAGTAAATAATATAGATCAGTCACTACTCATACCAACCTAGCTCTAGTTATAGCAGGAAAAGAGAAAAGCTCTTTACTCAGGTACAGCCTCGTTACCTCAGCACACCTCACCTGGATCAGCTTTGCAAGAGAGGCAGGACTGGTTCCAGGTCCTTTTTTCAATGATTATCTTTTTACCATAAGTTAAAATAAAATAATTCATGTCATACATTAGTTAATATTTTCTCACTGTCTAAAGCTGAAGGAAGCACATATTTTGATACAAAGTACATTTTAATTGTATGCAATTAAGTTTACTTGCTGAAGGAAAAACTAAGAGAAATGCTGACCTATTCTTTTCCACTCCCATACATATTCTGCAGTGGGAACTGTCTTTTGCTAGTGATGAGTTAGTAGGACTTCAATTTTTTATACCAACTGCAGAAACAGGAAATCTTGAGAGGACTCTTAGGATGATAAATCAGGATCAATTATTAAATTGTAATTGACTATTAATTTAACATTTAATTATTTAATTGTGTGTTCAGTATTATCTGGGGATTGGAATTAGATATTACATTTTGCAGATTAATTCTAAAGTTAAATTAGTATTTATAGATAGAGTGATGCAATAACCTTCACAAAATAACCATGAACAAGCATTATACATAAAGTGTGCTGAGTAATTCTCTGCTGGTTTTGTTTTTCCTTGACTGCTTCAGAGGAAGAAGTCCTTTTGTGGAAGAAAAAAGCTGTTTCCCTTCAGGTAATAATACATTATCAGTTAATAATTCAAAGGGTTTGGGGTATCATACTTTAATAAAAGAATGCAAATCAATATTATCTTGATGGATATATTTGAACCACATGGTAGGAACCACCACCACAGCAGGAAATGTCTTGGTGATGTACAACGGGAGATATTGAAAGGTGGGTAAAGAGATATAGTGAACTTTAAGCAACATTGTTTAATGATCTGAGGAGAGTTGCTCTTTGTTAATTAGCCCAACCTCCAGAAGCCTCACACCAAAACTGCAAACAGAACATGTTACTCATATTTTGTTACTTAATAATATCCAGGCTCTTCCGTCATTGAAACAACATAACCTGGCTTTGGCAAAGTTAGATTTCACACCATTTCCTGCCAGTGCCAGAGACATACTTTTAGCTTATTTCAAGTCCTTCCTGCTCTTTATTTTAAAGAGATCTCTTTTGTGATAGTGTGTCTTCCCTTGGGAGAAAACTTACTCCTTTCTCTTGTAGATCTAACAGATTTCAGCAGCTTGGGCTGCTGAGCAGGTGTCAGGTATCCTAGATTGGGGATAGAAATTGTTATAATTTTAAACTAAAACTAAACTACCCTCCTACATACTTTTCTAAGAACATTTGGAATAAATTCACAGTGCTGCTTTTGATTATTCAAATCCCCATCTTGGAAGTTCTCTTTCAGCCTCTGTAGTTTAATGCAGTTTTTGACAAAATAGTGAACATTTGAGAAGTAGTGATCCTCAGGTTATAAGTATGTGCAATTTGGACAAGAACTTTGTTCTTGGATATGTATTCACTTAAAAAGAGACTCGGCCTTTTGACTGGGGGAGGACACACTGGAGAGTGATCTCAGTAAGTGGTTGCACATGCATGAATCTTATTGATGGACTACAGATCCTTCCACCCCCTGTAGAGAACACCATATCTCGTGGCTCTAGTTTTTCTGTCCTGTCACTCACCTTGTCCTTCAACTGCAGCAATAAATGTATTGTGTGGTTTACCTGCTATTGCTGTAACTGATTCCAGTGGAAAAATTCAATAACTTTTCACATCAAGGGTCAACAGAGAAATAAATCGCTGATTTTTTTAAAATTTTGTATATTGTGCTGATATAAGTTAACAGAGCTAAAGTAATATATCACTGAAGCAAAAAAAAAAAATTAATAAATTGAAATATTAAGAAATATTAAGATACCAGATATTGGTGAATATAGAACTGAGAATATTTAGAAGTTGTATATTGCTAAATGTGACTCAGTTGGTACAGCACAGAACTGGGAGCCAGATCTGGAATCTAACACTATGTGTGTCATAAGGCAGATCATTTAATTCACCTCATTTCTCTGTAAATGGGGATAACAATAATCATTCTTATGAATTGTTTTGTGTTGTTCGCCTGAAAGATGATGAGTTTTATAGCTACTAATTAAACATTATTTCAATCTTCAAATTTACTTTCCCTGGTAAACTTTAATAAGTGTTTATGCTCCCTTAATGCCAGAGAGGAAAAAAAGCATGATTGTGAAGCAGCTGCTAAGAATTTCTCCCAGAAGATATTGAATTTCAATTGAGTCATCACTGAGTTTTAGTTAAAGGGGTAATGCAAGAAATAATATGTGAGAGTTGAAATTTTGATCTAAATATATTCAAAGCAAAATCAGCTGACACTCCAGTTCCCTCAAACTGGTATCCATCCCCCAGTACCCTCTGCCCAGACATTGGAAATAGGCATTGTAATTTCTCTTTAGCTTAGAGCACATGTAACAGTATTGCTTTAAAATAGTTACAGCTGTAGGTTACAGATTGTTTCTGTTGTTCTCTCTGTGTCAGCTCTCCTGCCACATGCAGAGATCTCTGCAACTCCACCCAGCCCAGGAGAAGGGGGCACTGGGCAGTTCTGGGGCCGGCTGGGCATTGGCACTGGTAATTATCTCACTCACTGTATTTGTCATTGTAAACAACTTTGTGATTTTCTACTCCTCTCTGTAAAGCTCTCTAAGTCAACTACATGTCAGTGAAACTTTAGAGTGTCTTTTCCCTGGTCTCTCTTCACAGCTGTCAGAGATTAATGGCTGCTCTCCAAACCTTGGGCTTTGATGGTAGAGGTTTGTGTCTAAAATTAAAACAGTGGTTCTAAAGCAGATTCCTAACTCCAGTGAAACTAGGAATTTCATCCACTGATTTAAGAGATCATATGTCAGCCCTGTCTTCTTTTAAGAGGAAGATTGCAATCTGTCCTGTCTCTTGTCTATTCTGAAAAGCATAAGAAGGTAAATTTGAACTTTTCCTGCTTCCCAATATCTACTGCCCTAAACAGTATAATTGCAGTTTTTTTTTCAAAAATGGAAGTGACCTTTTTCAGTTTCCGATGCAGAGGAACTTCTGCTCTGGCATATATTTCTATTGCTGCTTTTTACTCTTATTTCCTATACACAGTTTATCATATAATAAAATTTACATCTACAATTTTCTAATGAGAATATAAGAAACACAGCCAAGTTACTCCAGGCTGTCTCTGCTGCTCAACAAACTTTGACACATAAACACTGAGGAGTAGCTTAAAACCTGTACATTTACAGGTTGGGGTAACTGGAGACCGATTTGTTTCAAAAGAATGTAGGGAAATATTTGATGTGATTGAAATAATTATCAAGGCTGAAAATGATTTTATAAATGTGGTATTGGAAAAAAAAATTAGCAGATCATTGGAGGACTGGATTTTATCAGACATATATCAGGTGTTAAGCTCCCTGACTCACTCCATGAGATGATTAGCATTGTGCCTCTGGTTGCAGCAGAGGTTGGATGTATCTCACTTTGTATCACAAGTAGGTCACAATCTGCCAGAATAGAAAATATGCATTTAATGAACTTCATCCACCAGCAGGCATCTCATTGTCTAAGCCTACTCTGCAGAGAGTGAAGAGAAGCATCTCCAGAAGGAGATTAATACTAAAATAGATGTCTAGAATAAGTGGGACAAATTATCCCTCAGAGATGTCTGATCTTCCTCATTTGCAATAGAGGTCTCTAATTACTGACTGATGTTCTACCCTTTCTGCTAGAGTAAATGCTGAACTAGATGCAAACATGAAGAGGGGTGATGTCTGTGCTACTCTGGTTTACACATTGTTGCCCAAATTAGGCAGGCATTGAGGTTCTGGGGTTTTTTTTCTTTGTCAGAAGCTACTGCAATGAATGCTGGTATGGGGCACTAATGAGTTAATGAAGAGTACAGTGTATGCTCAGCTCTCACAGGTTTCCTGTGGTACAAGTGACCTTATGATCATTAGAAGAATAATGTCTATAGACAGGAATCACAGGAATTGGTTGTGGGTTTAAAGGATCTTTTAAAGAGGGAGAAAAATGAAAGTTTTGTTCTTCAAGTTCATTATTTTATCAGAGTATTTTAAAAACATATAATGTTTTTACACAAAGAATGCAAAATCATGACCCCAAGCTACAAAAAAACACATACAAATTTACAGATGGTTCAGAATATTTATATTTTACTATTCCATAGCAGTGTCTTAGACATGCTACAGTGCAAAGGAAAGTAGGCTTTTTTGCTCCCCAAATGTGTTTGTGTAAAGTCTTTCAAAGTCAGCAAAACGTAAGCAGTGAAAATGAAGCTTTAACTGACCATAGAAATGTTGCTTTTTAGGCAGCCTGTTAGCATGGGAGAACAGGATGTGCTGTGATTGTTAGGACTTTATGAGTAGGTTGTGCCAGCCTATGGCTCAAGGAATGCTGTGTTAAAGCACCTCTGGGAATAGTGCTGCTGGTTCACTGTGTGGAATCAGTGTTGTTACTTAACCTCTTTGCACTCACATATTCATCTCTGGGGTTAACAAATATTTACCCACCTTTGAAAGGTACTTTCAGTTCATCAGAAAAGTGCTGAATAAATACAGGGTAGTATTACCCTCATCAGCAGGTAATCCTGTTAATCTGACATACACTCTCTGTCCATGCTGAACATGTTCCATGCTACTTGATCATTGTAGTTAGATTAATGAAGGATAGTACAAAGATTAACTCTTAAGTAGTGGCTGCAGCTGCCCACCATGTGTGTTTACTAGACCCCAAAGCCAAGGCTTGAAATCCTCTTGCCTATAGTGAATAGAAGGAATGCACTTGACTTTTGCAGAACCAATTTTCTACCCAAAAGAACAATGTCTTCACCTAGGAGGTTGTAACCAACCTGTTGTACAGTGCTCTGATAGCTGCTGTGCTGCTGGCACCAGGGGAGACAGCTTCAGTGCTAAGACAGTGTCAGATCTCTGCACACCACACCAGTTTTACAAAGTTGTTGTAAGGGTAAAACTGTCTCATTTTTCACTGCACTGTTACTGCTACAGGTCACAGATTCATGTCTAGACTACTTTATAAAATATTATTGGAGATTAAGTCCTCCCCAGTGTAATGCAGATTCAAAGATGGCCCTGCTTTGAGCTGAAATTTGGACACAATGACCTCCATGGGCTACTTATAACTCAGTTGTTGTATAAAGTCAGGTGTAGCCTCAGCAGCAAGGAGCTTGGCATGAGCTGAAAATCATCCCCAGGGCTCTTGAGGAGATTCCTGTGTAGCTGCCTCAGAGTAAGCTCTGTGTTTCTACAGCAACACCTTTATCAGCAGCACCCTGACTGGTGTCAGGGTAGTTCTGGGAGGACTGTGTGATGTGCTGGCACACTTCCCTTGGAAGGTGTAGAGATACACCTTCACTGCTGTTGGCAGTGCTGGTCACTGGCTCTATTTCATTCATTTCAGTGGCACTTGGAGAATCTCTGGGCTCTTAGAGATCTGGAAAGTATTTTCAACAGAGGGTGGCTGGGCCAGTGTCTGAGGGAGAAGAAAGCACAGAAAACACTGCATCACCTGCATGCATTGCAATTATGAGTCTCTTACTGGAGTATGGATGGAGAACACGTGTTTGGAAATGCTTCATTTAGCAGCTTGAAAAGTTGGAACTTGCAGTTTTCTGACTGCAGACTGATATGGAAAATGGGGATTGAGCACAAATGCTATTTTGAAATGATGATGAAAATGGTGATCTTTTAAAGCAGTTTTCTATCACCTTTTTTTCTCTTTGTTAGAGTACATTGTGATATTGAAGCCTAGACTGCTAGGTCCAAATTTCCATTTTCAGGTGTAGCCTTTTCAAATGTTGTGTTAAGCAGATGTACTGGATCACTATTTGTGGAGAAAAACTATTGCTCTCTCAGTCAGGCATGCATGGCTCAGAAATGTGTTAGAATACTTTAAGCAGCTATATGAAGTGTTGGGAGCTCTCTAAATGCATTGCCCACTACACCCACTTTGACCTCTGTGAGGTGTAAGCAGGTACCAAGCCAAAGAAGCATTATCTGGTCTCATTAATAGTGGCATTAAAGTTGAGATATTGTAATGCTTTAGAAGGGAGTAAAGTCTGTAGGAATGAGGGGGCTCTATAAAAAGCCTGTAGAAGGTATAGAAGGTAACTTGAAAACTCTTATCACAATGGATGAAGTTTTCCTTTGTCTAGTTTTTTTTTTTTTTTTTTTTTTTTTTTTTTTTGTCCTTTTTTTTTTTTTTTTTTTTTTTTTTTTTTTTTTTTTTTTTTTTTTTTTTTTTTTTTTTTTTTTTTAAGCCTCTAATTGTTTAGTTAGGATCCTGGGTTTTTTTTCTGTTTCCATTTTGGAACGTAGCCTTTTTTGTCCCTGGAAGACAATTAATTTTAATGCCTACTGCCACATAATGAGAGAGAGAGAAGCAGGATGATGCTGCAAGTTTTTCATGTATCCTGACTGCAGAGAAAAAATTTAGTTATATAACTTGTCCATAAAAAGAATCCTCTTTTCCCTATCACTCTTTTTATTTTTTCCAGAAAGGAATAAAACTGAAAGTAGCTTAGTGTGGTGGAATTTCATGTTTATGAATATACAGTTTATGAGAGTTAGTGTCTTTAATATGCTCTGTGCTCTGACACTCAGCATTTCTCTTTGTAACTGAGGACAAAACAGTTACAAGGCAGTGAGTGGTTTGCATGCCTTGAGAGGAGCAGAACAAGACACACATGGGGGATGCAGGTGGATTCTGGTGTATGGGAGGAAGAGAAAAATCCTGGCAGAAGTCTGAGAAAACCCCTGGAGAAATGAGTGCATTCACAGCGAGATTGCTGCTCACCTGCAAGTACCTCTGAGCAGCTCCTATGGGAAGCATCTTTGCCAGCTGTGCCAGGGCAGCTCATTTTCATCTGCCTCCCTCGGGGCTCTATGCAGAATTGAAACCATATCCTGGTTTGTGCTGGGATTTAAACTGATCTGGAAGGTCAACAGCAGCCTTTTAGTAAAACTTATAATTAAGTAGGATTTATACAGTTATTAAAACATGTTTTTATGCTGCCATACTAGCCTAGTAATTGCTTGGGTGATTTCATCTATGTACAGGATTTCATCTATGTACAGGCTAAACAGAATAGTGCCTGTGATACCAAAGTAGTTGGTTGAAGGTAATTCAGCAAGGGATGGTGAAGAAGCCCACTTGTTTTCCTCTCTTATTGCCTTCAGTTCTTTTATTACATCAGTCTGTGAAGACAGTTTCTAGAAACTGCTAAGACCAGTCTGCAGCATTCTCCTGACATAGTTAGGGCTATGGATAGCCTCCTGCACATTCCTTCTCTGTTTCTTTTGAAGGAAACCTCTGTTCTGGTCATCAGAGGGGCCCCTTTTGTTATTTACAGCTTCTTGTTATCATTTGCATTCCTGTTTGCATGGTGTGGCGCCTCAGTGAAACCTCAAGGCCGTGCACTGACCCTATTTCAATATCTCTCTTGAGTAAACGTCATATTCACACTAACACTTAAT